GCTCTGGGGACATCTCCCAGAACGAGGATTCTCCTGGTGTGCAGGGGTCAGGCTGTTCATGAGCTGCTGGGGTGTGGGTTGGTGTGCTGAGCTCCTGCCAGGTGCAGGTGGCTGTGCAGGTGTGGCAGAACTGCAGCATTCAATTGCTCATCCTCTGGAACTGAAGGCTCTGGATCTGCCTCCAGGTCTGCCACTGCGAGTGGCTCTGAGCAAACACTCGATCCTGCAAATTGTGCAGGTGTCCCTGACCTTTGTGGCTGTGCTGTTCCTCCTTGCTGGAAGTGCTGGGTGGGGGTAGTTCTGGACTGTTGTTTCATGGGATTGCTTCTAGACACTGGAACAGTTTGCTTCTAGGAATTGGAGTACAAGGAAAACCTGCACAGTGCAAGAATGAAGGAGTGATAAGCCTTTGACCCCTGTAAAATTCCAGACTAGTAACTGTGCACACTGGTAACTGTGCTGATCTTTAGCTGCCTGTTCCTGGATGTTGAGTCCTGCCTGGCTTTGGCTTGATGAAATCAGGAGAGTTTCCTGGTGGAAGGGGAGCTTTTGACTCCAGGAGTTTCTCTGTCTCCCCTCACCTTTTTTTTGGGCTCTGCTCCAGAAGTGAGATCCTCACCACTGTGGTGACTGCTCTGCCTCTTGTTAATAGGGAGGAAATCTTTTCTAGTCTTCCTCTTTGTTATTTCAGTACTCTGCCACTCCAGGGCACTGTTTTCCTTGGAAGCTGGGGAAGCTGCAGGTGCCAGGGCTGTCACCTGGGCTAAAGCTCTTTCAGGTTGCTGTCTGAATACCTGCAGAGTGTGTTCCTGGGGTATTGAGTGATCTGAGGGTTTTTTTAAGGTTCTCCCTCTTGAAAAAGAGCCTGAGTATAGTTTGAAATCTTCTTCAGTGTGTATGTCTGACCCTGGAATCAAATATTACCCACACTGGTGTTGTGCAGCAGAAAACTGCTGCTGAGCATTTGGTGCCCTTCTCACATGAGTGGGCAGAGACAACACCAGAAAAAGGAGTTTTTCCCAGAATAGGGCAATTCTGCTTCTTGTGCAGGGTCCCCACATTCAGAGCTGCGTGCTGCTGAGCAGATGGCTCCAGATGCTGTCCTCCCTCTTACCCTGTCCCAGATGCCATGGCTTGGTGGGCACAGGAGGTTCCACCCCGCTGTGCTCTTGTGCAGAGTGGGCCCTTGCTGTGCCTGACCCTGCTCTCGTGCTGAATGCCTTTTCCCCTGGATCAGGGTGGATCCAGAGGTGTTTCTGTGGTGTGGCAGCTGGTCCTGCTCTGGCTCAGCCTGTCAGTGACCCCTGGCCAGGGTGGGACCACCAGCCCCCCGGAGCTCTGCTGCTCCTGGCATCCCAGAGTGGCCCCTGAGGGAAAACCAGCACGGGCTGCAGGAGAGAGAGGGGATTTTGGTGGAGTGACTGGTCCAATGTGCTCATACCTGCGCTGGCTTTATTTAGCAGTGTGATGTACCCAGTTCCCAATAAATGCTGGTTCTGATGCCTCATGAATGGCTGCTGTGTCTTTACTTGTGAGCAGTGATGGAGAAGGGGATGTTTTGTGTCTCTGGTGCCCCAGGGCTGTGATGGCAAACATGAACAGTTAACCTGGGCAGAGTTTTCCCTGGGTGAGGTCCTGGCACTGCAGGGTGTGCTGGTTGGTGCCTTGCTGAGCCTGGGTACCAACCAGCCTCCTCACCCTCCTCGTTCTTCCTGCAATTCCTGCTGTTTTAGTTTTCATGTGATTTTCTCCTATCCTCTTGCTAACGAGTCCAATGACACTTCTAAGCTGCCAGTAGTTCTGTGAAGGTAAGAGATCTTCTGTTTTGTCTGTGTGAGTCCTAAGGCAAACCCGGCCTCCTGGTGGCTCTTGGAGTGTTTAAAAACCATTTGTCTGGCAGTGCTTTAAAAAAGAATAGCTGCTACTAAAATAGCTGCTACTTAGGATTCACTAAAAGCTGTAAGCTGACCTTCAGTCTTTGAAATGGGCCTGTTATTTTAGCAGGTTTTGGGGCATCCCCACGTGTTCCACAAGCAACTCCACCTATCTGTGGGCTGGCCCACAGGAAGAGAGGCCAGGCCAAGCAGTAGATGTGCTTGGGGAGCAGCTGGAAGGACAGAACTTGTCTGTCTGCTGGAGCTTCCCTCGGGCAGCAGCGTTGGGAAGGGAAACACTCTGTGCTGGTGGCTGCTGTCAGGGGTGGGTGGGAGAGAGACCTGGTGGGATGGTGCTGAGGGTGCTGTGTGTGTCAGACATCTCCCATCCTCTCAGCAGTGGTACCCGTGGTGTCCCCGGGCCGTGTTGCCAACACCTTCTCCCTGGCATTGTTTTTTTCATTGGTTTGCCCTCCCTCTCCTGCCCATTTTCCATGCATGGTGGTGGTTTCCATCTGAGCAGCGTGACGTTCCTGTGCAGTGTACGTTGCTGTGATTGCTGAGCTGCTTCAGTAACGCCCTTCTCTTGTGTTTGTAGGTCTGCACAGGGATCCGGGCCGCTTCCCAGCCACAGCTCTCGAGCTCTGTAAGGGAGATCCTGGCAGTGATGGACTCACCTTGTACAAGGGTCAGCCCGAGATGCTGGAGGTGAAAGTGCAGCACAACTCAGAGTCAGAGTACCTGGCCAGAGATGGTCCTTCAAGCAACAGCTCCTTCTACAGCAGCGAAGGAGAGGGGACAGACCACGAGGGAGATATTCTGGATTGCAGCGGCTCCAGGCCTTTACTGATGGATTCAGAAGAGGAGGAGGACACGTGCAAGTTGTGCCCAGGGTTCCTGCAGCCTGTGCCCGGGCACGAGGCCTCCAAGGAGGATCCCCAGTCCCAGGCCAGAGCAGGGGAGCCGCTGTTCCCGGCCTTCCAGTCGCACAGCGGGGAGGTTTTTAACGAACCCGACGTGTTTGCCACGGCGCCTTTCCGAAGCTCCAGGAAGGTCCCCGACGAAGTGGATGTCTTTACCAAAGCTCCTTTTATCTGTAAGGGCAGCGCAGCTCTACGGCACCCAGAGGAAGCAGATGTGTTTCTGAGAGCCCCTTTCACTAAGAAGAGAAGCGTGGAAGAGCTGACTTCCCACAAGGAGCCGTTCACGCCGCCCGTGTTCCTGAGCCAAGGGGGCGACGGCCGAGCTCAGCCGATCTTCCTGGATGCAGCAGCACACGGCTCCGTGGCCTCGCCGAGAGCTCCACATCCTCCTGCTGCCTTTGCTCAGCCAGGCAACCTCCACCCCTGCTCCGTCAGAGCCGTGGAGGCCCAGCAGAGCAGCCCCGCTAAGGCGGCGCTGCCGGAGCAGGGCGACGCGCTGGGCTCCGTGGCCAACAAGCCCTTCCGTCCGCAGTCCCTGTCCAAGTATTCCCGGCACTACAGCCCCGAGGATGGGCCTGGGCTGGAGGCCAAGCCCATAGCTGCTTACAAGGTGGTGTCTCAGACCAACAGGCAGGCCGTAGCGGGCTCTGTCTCGCTTGTCCCGCTGTCTGCCAGGACTATGGAGCTGCCCGGCGCGGATCCCTTCGCCTCGGCGCCCTTCCCTTCCAAAGCAGCAAAGCAGAAGCCTTAATGTTCCAGGAGCTGGGGGCTGTGCTGCCTGCAGGACCACCCCGTGAGGACCTCAGACCTCTTAGTTGAACTGAATGACATAGCAATATATGCATATATATATATAAAGTAATTATTATTTTTGGTCAGAACTCTATTTGCAGTGATATATAGTTGAACCATTTAAGTTATGTTTGTCTGAATGCCTGCCTCTCAGGATCCTCGTATCCTTTCCAGTTGCTTCTCACCTTCCTCCTCTCACTGTCTTCCCTCCATTTATTTCCTTTTTTTTTAGATGCTTTTCTCAAACCAGCAGTATTCCATATTTTCTGGTCCTGGCTGGAGAAATGCACTACAAGATGAATTAAAAGGTTTATTAATTACAGAGCGAGTCAAGCAGGACTTGCTAATGCTCTGGAAAGGACACGATTTCACAGCTTAAAGGGTTATTGTGACTTTTGCTCTCAGTGATGTTCCTGCTGCCCAGCGGCAGTGGCAGCCACAGCTCTGGGTGTGCAGGTGGGTGCTGTGCCCGCAGAGCCAGAGCCGTGCTGGGATGTCTGGTGCCAGTCTGGGTGGTGCTGGCAAAGCAGAGCCAGGGCAGCAGCACAGCTTTGCTCCCCCGGGATGGGAACACGAGGCAGTGCTGCTGCCCCAGGGCTGGAGGCAGGGAAGGAGTTGTGAAGCAATCAGGCTGTTACTGTTGCTGGAAAATCAAACGGTCGTGCAAACAATCGGGAAAAGCTTTCACTTTTACACATGTATTTCCTGTCTGGTCTATGCCAAAGTGTAGCACCTGGAAATCTGCTTATGGTGAAGGAGAAATGTGTATTTACAGTATTAAAAGCAGACCTTACGGGGTCATTTGTGATGTGAGCAGCTCCATAACTGTCCTGATGTACCTCATGTGGTGTGACTCAGCAGAGGCCACAGCCCCCTTAGACTGGTTTATACTGGCACAGAGCTCAGCTCAAAGTCAATTCAGCCTATTGCTTTCCTGTTGGTTAAGGATGAACCTAAACAAAGTCCATTTGCTCTCCTTATGAAGTGTTGTTTTCTATCCAAGAGCAGGACTGTGATGACTGAGGCATGGACTCAGTCTGGCAGAGAAACTGAGGCGTTTATTAGGAAAGGCAAACTCTTTTTATACCCTTCTAAAAGATACAGCATTTCCTTAGATGGTACCCTTCGTGGACCAGGACCTGTGGAACCATAAGCATATCCTCCCCCTAGGTTATTAATGGAAAGGGACCTTCCCATTTTCCACTTTCAGGATTCTTAACAAATACTTGAGCTGTTTCTAGGTGAGTGTGTGATCCACTGAAATGGCATTTGGAATGGGGTTAGGTCATTCTGAACACGATTGAAAAATTTAAAACATATATATATATATATATGGCTTCTGGCAGTCTTTAATGGGGGCATACCCCATCCCCTTTTTTGTTTTAACAAGAGGGACTGGAGAGTACTATGGGCCCGTTCAATTGCAAGGAATTTCTCTCCTCTGCCCCTCCCCAATTCCTTCCTCTTCCTCCTCCTCACCCTCATCCTCGTCCTTTGCGTTGGCCTCAGATTTATCCGAGGATTCGTGGAGCAGGACGTACTCCCTGCTGCTGAAGCCAAACCTGAGCACGTCCTTCTCCCTCAGCTCGTAGTAGCGCTGTGGCTGGACGCGCTGGTTGTTGAGGAAGGTGCCGTTCCCCGAGCCCAGGTCCATGATGTAGGGTCTCAGCTGCCGCTGCACCAGGCGGTACTGCAGGACGGCGTGCTGCTGCGAGCAGGACGGGTGGGCGATGGGGATGTCGGCGATGCGGCGGTGCCGGCCCAGCAGGTAGGCGCTCTGCCTGTGGATGTGCAGCACGGGCAGGAGCTCGTCCTTCTTGAAGGGGTACAGGCGCCAGCGCGTCCTGGGGATGCGCGCCTCGGGGGGCTCGCTGTACCGGATCAGCACCCCGCCCACGGTGTTGGTGTCCTCCAGCAGCGCCCCCGACGGCTCAAAGCTTGGCTTCTTGTTGGCGTCGGGTTTTAATTTGGCCCGGCCCGGCCCCTCCGCCGCGGCCACCCGCTGCCCTCCGCCCGGCCCCGCTCTCGCCCGGCCCCGCTCCCCGTGTCAGCGGAACTGCGGCAAACACAAAACCCCTCCAACAACATTTTTTGTGCTAGAGAATCAAGGCTTTACTTCGCTTCTGGCCACGATGTGCAGCAGAAATAATTTCGTCCACGCACAGCCCGGGCGTGCAGAGGAAATCGCTCTATGGCACCTGAGTTTAGCAGATTTTTCACGTCTTTTATACAGTCAGAAGCCCATAGAAATTCCTTGCTTCAGCGCTCATTGGTTCCAGGTTACGTAGCTCTTAGTGTTTGTTTTCCTGTTGGTTCTGTCTTTGCCTCCGGTGTTAATTAGGTGCTCGTTCTTATCTCTGCTTTGGCCAGGTGTCCCGGGCCGTGCCGGGGCTGCTCTTTGGAGCTGATGTTCACTTAATGGCCCATGATGGCTGTTGTCTTTTGTGTATCTTCTGTGCTACTCCCACTCGGTTGGGAGTTAAACTCATCCGGCCTCACTTGGAGCAATGGTTTGCAAAGAAACCCCAGCCGCCCTGTGCTCCTTTTCCCTTAATTCACTTCCCCCCAAAATCTCTCCAGGTACAAGAGACGAGCCGAGTGTTGTGCTGGATGTGGGGATTGCCTGGAAGGGAGAGGGAAAAGCCTGGACTGCGGTGTTGGAGCCTTGGGGTGGGAGGGAGAACACTGGAATGCAGGAGGAATTGGCTCCCAGGAGTTGCTGGTTGACATAAATAGGGCAGGAGATCTTTCTCCTTTTCAATGCCTTTATTAAAGAGATTCAGCTCAGGTGGGGAGAAATCGACGGGTCGCGCCCACGCCGCCGCTGTCCCCAAGAATGGCACGGAGGAGGAGGGTGATGCAGCTCTGTCCGCTGGTCTGCAGGCAGAGCTGGGGACTGCGTCCTCACGGGAGATCCGCAGATTCCTGCTTTTCAGTCCAACACTTCGGGTCCCCTCCTTATGGAACATCTCTTGAGGTCAGGGTGTGAAGCAAAAAGGATCCAAGCAGGCACTGGACTTCACGCCCATCCTTAGACATCACCTAGGGTCCTCTAATTCTATATTGGTTCGTTGTTTTTAGGGGTTTTCTAGGAAAGCTTTAGCGCGGTGCATTTCTCATTTGCATACGTGGTCCCAGGCCACTCCTATTCTCCTGGGCTGCGTGTCCAGGTGTAGCTCCGGGGCAAGCATTGGGAGAACAATGGCTAAATCACCAACCATTAACGGGCAATTAAAGAACTCTTTACAATTAAGCTAATTTAGCAGCAACTGGTCCCACCGTTTTTTTTTTTCTCTGTAACCTTAAATAAAAATAGGTATATTTTTATTCATAACACTGGTGAGTAGTGACCAGCCGAGCCCAGGTTGGGGGGGCTCGTGGAGCCGGGACCCCCCTGCCCTGCGTGGCTGCACTGAGTTCATAAATATCCGTGCCTAGTGGTGCTTATGGGGCTCTCTGCTCTCCATCACCACCTCTTGAAAACAGAAGTACTGTAGAGAATTTCTGGGTTTCCCTTGAGATGTTTCTTCAGCAAAGCTGACGCTGTTATTATGTTTTGTTGTTTAGTTGTCTGTTTAAACATACACCCGAAAGGTGGTTTTAGTTTTAACTATGTGCTCCCCCAAGTCGGTTGTTGCAGGATGCAATCAGTGAGAGACACAGAGAATGACTGTGACAGCAAACTGTGAATTCAAGGACCGTGAGTGTGAGGGCCCAGCCAGCAGCCTGTGTCACAGCCCCACTGAGCCAGGAGTGCCCTTGAGCTCTGCAGTGTGCTCAGAAGCTGCTGGAAGGGAGGCCAGGCCTCGGCGGATGGACCTGTGCAACAGGGAGATGCTTTGCTGGAGTGAGCAGGTACCCTGTGTGAGCCACTTGGCTTCGAGGTGTTGCCTCTGCTCACTGGAGCTTCTTCCTTCTCTTCATTTGTACTTGAAAAATTGCTTCTGAATAATTCAGTGCAGCTTCTGTCAGCACGGAGCTGCTGCTGGAGGAGCATCAGCCTGTCCCTTCACGCTGGGAGAAAGGGAAGGTGCACCGAGCTGTGCAGGCTCCACTCCAGCCCTGCTCGGCCAGGGCAGGCTCAATTTCCAGCTGGCATTTTGGCAGCTTTTCTGTCCTTCAGGCACTTTACAGGAAGAGCACGCTAACTGTGCCCCAGAGCTCATGATCCTGCCAGACACATCCAGTGCTTAAACGGTTTTAGATCTCTTCTGGGGGTGGAGGCAGCTCGTTTGTATCTCTGCATGTGACTCATCAGGTAATGGGACTTCTGGTTATGGTCAGAAAACTCAATTTCAATGCCTGTTACTCTAATACCCTTCTCATTTCCAGCTTGTGTTCCTCCTAATCCTGCACTACCACTGCTGCAGCCTCAGCGTGATGAGTTGTAAGTGGAAATTTAATTTCCATAGCATCTGAAGCTTACTGTTTTAATGAATGTGGAAGAATCATGCTAATTATTTGCCACACAATCAGTGATCTTAATGAAGTGAGACTCATACAGACTCAATGGGGTGTTTTGAAATCAGTTTTCTGAAAAGAGCCACTGGTTTCACATCTTTTGTGATGCTGTAGTAAAAGTTGTTCACTGCCCTGGGTCCTCTGGTTATCACATCCCTGTGACAATCCCGGAATCCTGCTGGGAGAGGGACTGGCTCCTGGTTCTCACCCACTGAATGCACTAAAGTCTCTGTTCAAAGTGATTAATCAGAGTTTCTGCATCAGTAAAAGAAGCAGTTGGCTCTGTGCTCACTGCCGTGACTGCTGGGGGGGATTGTCCTCCCCAGCTGCTGCAGGACTTTGGGGACTGTCCCCAGTGTCCCCTCTCCTGCCGTGACCCCGAGTGAGCACTGGCCTGATCATGTCCTCGGTGCCACAGCAGCAAAACCGGGTGAGATCTGCTTAATTGCTGAACTCAATCACTCCAAAGTGCTAATCAGTTACTTTAACTCAGCTTCCACCAAAGACTCTTGTGTTGGGGAGTTGAATTTTGTGGGTTTTTGTTTCTTTCCTCACAGTGTTAAATCAACGCCTTCGAGCACACTGACAGACCCCAAAGCACTTTTTCAGTAGTACCATGACACTGAAACCCTGCTCCAGTTCTCAAACACATTCCTGAAACGTGATCAGCTGCATTAGCGTTCCTAGAAATAACCCCCAGCCTGTAGTTTCTGCTGTAGGTGGGTAAATACCCTCACACACCCCTAGAAATCTCCCTGTGGAGTCAGAGGGATATCGCTGGTCGGCGTTCCTGATCCCGTGCCTCCAAAGGGACGGGGTGGCAGGGCAGGGGGCTCGCTCTGGGAGCATCCCACACACCGAGACTGGCCGTGGAAAACCTCCTTTGTGTCCAGGAGGAGCCGGAGCTGGGAGTGTCCGTGATCCCCACGGTGACACACGGTGACCCACAGTGACACACAGTGACCTGTGTCCCCCCCCAGTCCCCTCTGTTCCCCCCATGCCTGGCAGAACCCTGGGCTCAAATTTTGCACTCCGCTTGGGATCGTCTGTTCCTGGTAATCATGAAGAAATGTTCCACTTGTAAACTTATGTACATTTTATTAAAACTGTATCTGATGACAAGCGCCGTCTCCATTGTGCCTTCCTTCTCCCCTCCCCAGGGAAAATATTTCTGCTGGACACAGGGAATCTGGGTTTTAATGAGTTCTTCCTACCTAAGTGCTGAACTGGGTTTGGCTGTTTTATCTGGCAGCTGTGAAGTCAAACTATCTTGCTGCTTTAAGCAGAGGATATTTCAGTTTATATCCAGTTTATATTCCAAAGAGAACTCTTCTCATAGAGAGGACAGCCCTGAGCGCTCGTTGTGTGCTGCTTAAACATGTTTTTCGGTATCATTCAGCTGCCAAGACTCTCTTAAGTGCAAAATATTATTTGGGCTTTGCTGCACTTGTTAATTTAATTTCTGTCTTGGTGCAAATGTCCATTGAGAGGGATTTTGTGCTGTCTTCTGGCTCTGCACAACTCCTGACAGGAGGGGTCGGGCTCTGCTCCAGGGAACAGGGACGAGAGAGGAATCGGCCTCAGGCTGGAAATTGGGAAAATTCCTCCCTGGAAACTGGGAAAATTCCTTCCTGGAAACTGGGAAAATTCCTTCAATTCCTTCCTGGAAACTGGGAAAATTCCTCCCTGGAAACATTCCTTCCTGGAAAGCGCTGCCCGGCCCTAAGACAGGCTGCCGCGGGCAGCGCTGGAGTCGCCATGCCCCATCTGGGGGGATTTAACAGCCGTGCGTGTGTGGCACACGGTCACACGGAGCAGTGGCGGCCCTGCCGTGTCGGGAGCGGCGCTCGGTGGCCCCGGTAGTCCCGGTCGGAGCCCGTCCCGTCCCGACCGCCGCCGCCATGGCCGCTGTCCCCCTCAGGCGCTGCCGCCAGGGGGCGCCGCCGTTCCCGGGCGGCGGCGGGAGCGGCCCCGGGGAGTGCCAAGATGGCGGCGGCGCGGCGGCTCTGCGCGGCGGCGGGGCTGGGCGGGCGGTAGGTGACCGCGGGCCCCGCGGCTCCCGCTGCTCCGGCACGGCTTTTTCCCGGAGGGAGCTCGGTTTATTCCCGATGGGGGGCCCCTCCCGCCCCTTCCCCACGCGGCTGAAAGGGAGCCGCGTCGCAGTTAGCGGCACTGCGACCTCCAGGGTGCTCCTTGCTCTTCCCCTTCCTTTCTCCACCGCGGACGGGGTGACGCTTCTTCCTGGCAGACGGCGAGAGGCTGTTTCTCCTTCTCAGGCCTTTCACGCCGTAAGCTGGTAGCTCTCCCTGACACGCAGCTCCTGGGTGCTCAGCCCTGTACACCCGGGTAGAACCGTGAGGCAAAATTCCGCACACACCCGCTCAGGACCCTGCACTGAGGGGTAATTCCCCTCATACACACTCAGGATCCTGCTCTGAGGGGTAATTCCCCTCACACACACTCAGGATTCTGCTCTGAGGGGTAATTCCCCTCATACACACTCAGGACCTGCACGGAGGGGTAATTCCCCTCACACACACTCAGGATCCTGCTCTGAGGGGTAATTCCGCTCATACACACTCAGGATCCTGCTCTGAGGGGTAATTCCGCTCATACACACTCAGGATCCTGCTCTGAGGGGTAATTCCGCTCATACACACTCAGGATCCTGCTCTGAGGGGTAATTCCGCTCATACACACTCAGGATCCTGCTCTGAGGGGTAATTCCGCTCATACACACTCAGGATCCTGCTCTGAGGGGTAATTCCGCTCATACACACTCAGGATCCTGCTCTGAGGGGTAATTCCGCTCATACACACTCAGGATCCTGCTCTGAGGGGTAATTCCGCTCATACACACTCAGGATCCTGCTCTGAGGGGTAATTCCGCTCATACACACTCAGGATCCTGCTCTGAGGGGTAATTCCGCTCATACACACTCAGGATCCTGCTCTGAGGGGTAATTCCGCTCATACACACTCAGGATCCTGCTCTGAGGGGTAATTCCGCTCATACACACTCAGGATC